TACATGGAAGTGAAGTACTCAATTCACCCCAATACAAAAAAAAACATTTCTCAATGTGCAAAAAGGAAAAGACCACAATTACTGACTGTAAAAATGTTGTATCAGCTATAGCTAATCCTCCCCATATGAACATCTCAAAGAGCTATGCAAGTCATATCAACACTATTATAGCTTTAAAAAATATTTTAAGTACAGTCATGCAAATTCTGTCATGTAAATGTTTTCAATGTAACATCATTACTGTAAGGTATACAGTACATTCCATGCAGTTACCTTTTTCAATGGGGTGATTGACTGATAACAAGTGTTAATATTTTGCACATCAAGTGTCAATTAGTGTAGCTATGGTCTAAGTTTATGAGGAGTAAGTGTTATCCACCGTGAGAAGATTATTTTTGTTTTGTAGACATGAGTTACACAAAAGATTTTTGATGTTTGTGTAGAGAATTGTAACTTCAGTTAGAGAATTGTGTGATCTGTTTTGCAAAACACTGCTTAGCATCTGCATTTTGTGTGATATCAATGATAAATGGTATACTGTTGTAGAGAAATGGTTTTCTGTTTCGATGGCTGTGCTGTTGGTTTGATGAAAGGAATTTTGATTCTAAATAGTGGGTTTAGCGATTGAGAAAAACTAAATACCCATATCATGGAAATGTGTGTCTGGCACTGGCAAATAAGTTGGAACAACTCTCACCATACACAGTATAACATGCAGTTCATACATACTCGTTCTTCCACTTCTCCCTGCTCTTCACACTCACCCTCGGCCTCTTCCAGGTCAGTCCCGGGGGGGGCTTCCTCCTGTAGAATAAGGACTGGGGGGTGGCGGGGAACAGGGGGTCCTGAAAGAGGGCACCTCGCCTCAGGCAGGCTCGCCTCAGCTTGTGGAAGCTCTGACCCTGGAAATGGTTCACTTGTTCGGGCATTGTGGCCGGAGAGGAAGGGCTTTGGACCAAAAGAAGAGACGTGGGACGGATGAAGGGTTCATATAGAACTTTCCATGCAGCAGTATTGGGTTACACTTTCAGAATAATAAATGGATTGTATTTATAAGACATCCCTACTGGTTTGAACCTTGAGTGTGTATTTATATACATTTCAAAAATAAAACAGCAATGCCAAACATCTGTCAGTTAGTTTCCCTTTACTCAAGGAAATAGAGACTCATTCTTAAAAAAAAAGAACTTTTAAAAAATCGTGATTACTTTAACATATCTAGTTTATCAGAACATTTACATATAATGATGCTGATGATATGTAATATAATATATATAAACATTGTAAATCAACTTGCAACATTGACATATAATAAACCTCCAAAAGATGTAATTAAGTTTTTTAAATATCTTATATTAAATGAGTTGGTCCAGGTAAAGTTCCATAAATGTTTGAGATGTGAGATCCTACACAAAAATACATAATTTAAAAGTACATTTGTTAAACACTACTGCAAATATGAAAGTCTGTTGAGTTCTCAAAAGTGACATAGCTCTTGCCAGTTAGCAGGGGGTCCAGCAGTGTGTGTGTGTGTGTGTGTGTGTGTGTGTGTGTGTGTGTGTGTGTGTGTGTGTGTTTGTCCCTTGGGGGGGTTAGGACAGCGCTAAGGTATTAGTACCGTTTTAGTCGTCAGTGATATGAACTGCTGGGGTCCCTGAGTCAGCAGCATGTGTGTGTCATCGAGAGTATGCCAGGTGTGTGTGTGTGTGGTGTGTGTGTGTGTGTGTGTGTGTGTGTGTGTGTGTGTGTGTGTGTGTGTGTGTTTGTACGTATGTGTGTTGGGGGTCAGCTCGGGGTCTTGCTGTACGGAGAAGAGCGAGGTGATCGGGTACACCACACCGGTTAATGTCATTAATTATCAGTGAGGTTTTGTTTTTCCTGTATCAGATTAATGCAGATAGACACAAAAACACGAGAAAAACATATAACGGTAACACGTATGCACTGTCCATGAACATTTTGCACATAACAAATGTCTGACTTATCATGTTTTAATGAAGGCAGCAACGAAATGCAGATACACATCAGGAACTCCTGTGCCTCGATATTATTATTTAATCACATAAAACCTAATATATAAACCTTCATAGACAACGATCAATCAATTATGAACAATAAATAATAGTTGTCAAATAAAATATATGCAATTACATTTGTTGTGAACATATGAGGCGAAAAGTGTCACGGGTTGGTTTGTTTTGGTTCAAATAAATAAGTTATTTGCGTGTGTGTTCATTCAAGTAGTTTATTTTTCTGTTTGCATGTCATGTTTTGTCTCTTTTTACTTTGCTGCCAGCACACTTTTCATACAGGACAAGAAAGACTAAACTATGTCAATATATTCATTTGAATATGTATATATGTATATAACTGTGTTTGTTGTTGCAAAGTGCTCGGGAACTAATACTTAGATAATTTATAATAAATTAAGCATAGTCTGTATTAAATATAATCCTATGCTTTATACTAAAAGCTTTTCAGATTTGTTTACGTACAATGATTTATATTATTATCTAGTAATAAATTGTCGTATTCTATAGTCATTTTGGGTCATTCCACAATCTACATGCATCAAATTAGATCAGTGTTAACAGTATGAACTGCAGGTACATTGTTTTACCTTTAAGACGTTTCTCCCGTTGATTTCCTGATCTGAGGCAGAGGATCCAGGAATATGACCTCCTTTGGTCATTTAGGGAACGGTAATTCTTCAGAGGCAATCATGTGTTGCGACGTGTATCCAGCAATGGTCATCTCTTGCCTCTTCCCTTTCCCACTGTCAGCTGACACTTTCTTATTCCTTCCTCTGAAAGTGTTGGGAGAGTTTGACTCATCTCCAGATACTCAACTCAGTGTCATTGGACCTAGTTGGAAAAAACATCAGAAAATGAAATGCAAAAACCAAAAGTATGATGCTGCAGTTTTAGAGAACAGCGTGTTGTGAGTACTGCAAGTTCCCTGACACCATGTCTTATGAGTGTGTGTAACAGCCTGACGAGCTGATGCGAGAGTGTGTGTGTGTGTGTGTGTGTGTGTGTGTGTGTGTGTGTGTGTGTGTGTGTGTGTGTGTGTGTGTGTGTGTGTGTGTGTGTGTGTGTGTGTGTGTGTGTGCATATGGCCGTGACATACAGAGCAGGGTGACACTGCTGGAGCCGGGTGTCTGTGTAACTCTATCTCTCTCAACACAGACAATACACACACATTCATCCCCCTTGGTGACATAACACACAGTTATAGCCATAGAAGCTTCACTTCACACCAGTAAAACGTAGAACACTACATTCACTATTGAGTTTCAGATATTCAAGATGCACACTTGATCCTCTGCTGCAAACTGTTCTGCAGCTGGAGAACATAAACATACTTTTTTTTCTCGGAGTGTGTGTGTGTGTGTGTGTGTGTGTGTGTGTGTGTGTCACTCACTTCTGGTTGTTGACTAAGCACATTCTGTCTTCTTCTCTTCCTCCACTCGATGAGTTTCACTGCTTTTCTTTTCCATCGTCATATTAATGCAGTTCTCGGTTCACTCTCTTCTCGTTTTTCCGCCCTATCTTTTTGCTCTCTTCTCCTCTTCCCTTCTCTTCTCTCTATCTTCTCCCTCACACACTCTTGGGGTATCTGTTGCTGTTGAGTGTGTTGCCCCTGACACCTGAGATACCAAGAGGCGAGCACCTTCTATTTTAACCACCTCGCTGCCAAATAACAGGCTAATTATCCCCCATGACCCTGGAGCATCAACTCAGAGCTCATAACAAATATAATGTCTTTTAATAATTGGGAAACTGTTCACATAGCAGCACATACATTCAGGTAAATAGCACCATTTGCACTAAAACCTTACCTGCCTTATTTTCCAATTAGAAAATAGGGTTGTTTTTTTTTTTTATAAATTAGTTTTTGGACACTGCAAAATATGCTTTAAACTGCATACCATTGATTTTATACTTTTAATAAGTAAGTACATTGAAGACCTATCTTTTTAATTTGGCTTTTAGTTATAGTTGTATCACTGTTCATGGTTGTTTCTGTAAAGCACTTTGGGCTGCATCTTAATGCAGTGCTATATAAATAAAGTGTATTATTATATAAATACAGTTTAATATACATCATAAATCAGATTTCCATAATCAAAAACTGTGTATTCAAGAAATGTTTCTTTATAAATGTAGATTTCAACGTGTGCAAATATTAAAGAAATAGCAGACGAAAAAATAAATAGAAATAGTAAAAATAAAAATAAATAAATAAAATTATATATGCTCAAACAAAAAACAATTATGATATGTTAGAAATAAGTGAAGAGCGGCGGTAGAAAATATAATTTAATTAAATAAATTACATTTCTTGTGATGCGAGTTTCTTTTTTCTTCTATCGACTAACTTCCTTGAAATCTTACCATCAGGCATCTGCTAGTCGTGTCTGTTAGGATGTACTACGCATGCGCAGATCGGAAAAACTGCCGATGTGGCTGCTGAACTTTTTATTAAGCCGTAAGAAACGAAAACTGTTGACATGAAACTTTTTATACTGACTTTCTTTGTCCTCTGCTGCTCTATTACAGCAGAGCAAGACGACAGACTGCCGAACAAATGCGAAGGTAGGATTTTCAAAAAGTGACACAAGCTTTTAATGCTATGTATGTGGCTTAATAACAGCAGTATGGCTTGTGTTTACATAGTTGATGTCCAGGAGTGTGTGCCTTTGACATGAACACGCATATAAAACGTTTTTAAATATCTGTTTCTCCCGTCTGTCAGTGTGTAAGTTTCTGTCAGTAGAGCTGCAGGATGCTCTGGAGAAAAGCAGTCGCTCCAAAGAAGTCCTGGAGCTGGGAGAGGTGCTGGACTCAGGCAGGAGGAGAAGGAAGATCAAATACAACACCTCGTGAGTAAACTCTGGGGAATGTCACTTTAAATATGCCTGAGAGTGCAGACAGTATACGCTAATACTACTTTACTTTGACTTGCTCCTATCTTAATTGCAAGCTACTGTACAACTAACTATGTGTATGTGTTCAGCAGGTTTATTATAGGGTATTCTATTTAATTCTTTGTATTTTATAATGCTTAGATACTCCTCTCAATATAGATTTTTTTTTTACTGAGAATATGAATATATTGGGTTATTTTTACATTTTTATTTTATGTATTTTATGCAACTTTTAGGTCATTTTGTTATTCTTGTATATTGACAATTGTCAAAATGCTGCTGTGACAAAATAATTTCTAGTCTTGGGATGAATAAAGTATCTATTATCGATCTATTTTTTAGTTAGACAATTAAACTACTGTAACACAATCTGTAGTAACTTTGACACAAACACCTTTATTTCCACCTCTGTTATCTGGATGCTATCACACTACTTCTACACGCTACACTCATTTTATTTTTGAAAAATGCAATTGCTTTACTTTTTGTTTTCCACCTGGATGGGTACTGTAGATTGTAATTTGTGTAATTTCCTTCTCTAATGTTTAATGCATGCCTATAAAAAAAACAATGTTAACTTCCCCTCTGAGGGATTAATACGTGTATTCTGATTCTAATACTTCACACGTTGCATTGTTAGACTGCTGGAAAACCTGTATCTTTGTATGTTTGTGTGTAACACCACCATCTAACCCTGTATTCTGCCAATAGGGAAACCCGTCTGACAGAGGCTCTGGACAACATATGTGAGCGCGTCCTGCAGTATAATGTTCACGCAGAGAGGCCAGGCAGCCTCCGATACGCCAAGGTCAGGTTTACTAATCTGCTTTTAACCTCTCATCTGTTGCATTACACAGATTTAAGGTCGGTCTTGACATGTTTCCCAGCAGTTTGTTCCACATGAAAAGACAAATGAAAAGTGTAAACTTGTGTATGAATCTGTGTATCTAGCTGTTTTGTATATTATGCAGGGGGCCAGTCAGACCATGACAACTCTGAAGAACCTGGTCCACAAAGGGGTCAAAGTAGATTTGGGTCTGCCATTTGAGCTGTGGGACGAACCCTCTGTAGAGGTGTCAGACATGAAGAAACAGGTAGGAGGATGCGTGGGTGTAAAACTTCAAAGTGTTTGGATTTTTAAATGCTTTTTACAACCCTCTACTTATATTTGAAAGCATGAGGAAAGCAGCTGTTCCAGAAAAACAGCATTTCCCTTTGTTAACACAGTACATACAAAAAAATGGTATAGTCATATTTTTGCCAACCTAAATGGGTGTGTGTTGTTCAGTGTGAGACGATGCTGGAGCAGTATGAGGAGGTCGTGGAGGACTGGTACTTCAATCATCAGGCGAAGAGGCTGGAGAGCTTCCTCTGTCAGAACCAAGTCCTCAAGACATCAGAGCAAGGTGATTAAGTGATGCCGTTGGGTTTGGAATAGTTATTTAATATTCACCATTTATTTATAGAGAGTAATAAGGTGTACGCAAACTCACTGAACATAACACAAGTGAGCTAACTCTTCTCTCTGCAGATAACAAAGTATGTAGCTTAAACCTCCTTGTGTATTTTGTTTTTTCTCTCCCTCAGAATGCATAAAGGAGATGTGGAAAGGAGACATGAGAATCAAAAGTGAGGCCAAGGAGGCAGAAAGCCACGGCGCAGAAGAGGAGAAGAAATCGCATGATGCTGGAGAGCTATGAGGGGAAAAATATATAAAAGTCAAACAGAAAGACAACGGAGTAACCTCAAATGTCCCTGCCAATAGTAAAACAATATATATGTTTTTAGCTACACAAACATTTTTTTATTATATTTCTTCTGCCAAATCTTGGTTCCAGAGTCTTGGGAGTCATAATCATCTGTGCTTTTGGACTTTAACACTACGTTTCTCCCGTTGTTTTTATATGAACTGTCGCACATTTTAGTTGAATGAGGTTCCAAGCTTTTGCCATTCATATTTTAGACCTCAGTGTTATACGATGTTTACACGCTGTTACATCTCCTAATGCCGACACTATATGGTACGAAGCAGCATGTTTACATCCCAATTACAGCCTTATAATGCAATATGTACAGTTTTTTCAGTGTGAATAAAATGCCTTTTATAACACTTTTGGATATTTTTGTTTTTTCTGCATTTCTATCAGTTTTCAATGAAACACCACAATGTCTTTTACTTCTCTATAGTTTCTTTGTATGTACCCTGTATAAATTACGAACAATAGTAGCTAAACTGGTGAGCCTTTTAAGAATCAAAATGTAACCTTGTTTTTCTTTTACCATAGAACTTGTTTATTTTATAAGAATATAAAAGAGCAAGAAAACCACATTTGAGTACAACTCATTCCCCCTATGCAACCAGCTGGATCGTTGCTAAATGCTGCCCCCTAGTGGTTTCATATTGACACTGACACATTTGGCAGTGTCCTGTTGTGTTGAGGGATGTTCCTATTTCATACCAGTGTGAATATGGAAGGTGCATTTACAGACACAATATTCATGTCTGTGTATAATAGTATTTCAACTTCATTGTCTATAATTCCACACTTAATATTTATACTTTTTTGTTACTGTTGTCACTTCTCCTGTCCAGCCCTGAAGTGATGCTATTTAACCCTCCTATTGTCTTCGTTTTCCTCCCCTTAATTTGGTGTTCGCGGTCAAATTTGACCGGTCCGGTTTTAACTGCTATCAAATTAACATAAAAACCATTAATCATCACCAAATTTCATTTAACACCCTTTCAAACTGTAAACATTGTATCAGACTACTGGTATACATGAAAAACTGCAGTAAATGTACAAAGAATAGACACTGAGAGTGTGTGTGTGTGTGTGTGTGTGTGTGTGTGTGTGTGTGTGTGTGTGTGTGTGTGTGTGTGTGTGTGTGTGTGTGTGTGTGTGTGTGTGTGTGTGTGTGTATCTGATCCGGATGGTTACTAATTCCTTTTCTTTATGGCGGCCATTTTTGACCGGGAACACCATGGGTGTTACAAAGTTGACTAAATCATCCAAAATGCAATGAAAGTGGTGGTCAGCAATTGTATATGTTCAAATGTCTACTGTGAAGGATAGCATAAAGCCTTAATGTAAAACAAAAAAGTTATGATTGAT